CATACTTTACTACTGCCAATGTCTTCACTAACTTCGAACATCCTTTGTCCTCAAACGTCTCTCTACCATCGATTCTTCCTCAAACAGTTATCAATCGATTATTCCCAAACAGTTTTGTTCCAAATATTAACATAAAACCAACAATCAATACACTACAAGAAAACATGACTGTTTTCGACGGACAGTTTGGTCAGAAATCCGTCGGAAACAGGTGGTCGAAAAATAACGGTTTTAGGTGGTCGAAAATGAAAAATCGGTCGGAACCCATCGAAAATTTCCGACGGATTTCCGACCGATATGGGTCGTTGCAAATACCGACGGAATTTTTCGACCGGCATTACCGTCGGAATTTTCTGACCGTCGTGTCCGTCGGAATTTTCCGACCGACGGTCTTGACGGTCGGAAAATTCTGACGGATACGACGGTCGGAAAATTCCGACGGATACAACGGTCGGAAATTTCCGACCGTTTTCCTACGGATTTGGTTTTTTTTTTTAAATTAAATTATTTATTATTTAATCTATTAATTATTTAAATTACGAAATAATTTATAAAAAAAGATAAAAATAAATTGAAAATGTAATTTAAAGTATTTAAAAGTATTTAGAAATATTTTAAACATAATAAAATGTAAATTAAAATAAAAAAACTAAAACCGTCGTAAACATCTAAAACTGACAATCCGGGAATTTGCTCCTCATGAAAGCCTTCAATGCTTCAAGGCTCTTTTTTGTTGCGGTGTTCTCAAGCTTCAATTCTTCAACTTCTTCGTCTTTCTTCTCAAGTGCTTCTTTGAGACCGGCTACTTCGTCATACAGTACGGGATTGGTCGCGGAAGAAGAACTAGGCCCGAACCTAGAAGCTACATTGCCTAATCCAAGACGACGACCCTTGCGCAATGGGGTTTCCTACGGAAAATGAGATGCGTCAATATGGAAAATTAAGAAAAAAAAACAAAGTCGACATATAATTAAAACGTAACAATACCTGGAGGACCATTTCGTTGACTTCGTCTCGGGACAACTCACACTGATTCGAAGAAGAAGAACCATCCAAACCTTGAGAGAGTGTCATTTGCGTAAGCCGCTCTTCCTTTCTCTTCTCCACCTTCTCGACGATTTCAGCAATGTTCGGATAATCGATCTTCCCGGTTTTTTTGTTCGTGTGTGTCCGTTTCATCAAAGCAACTAAATCCGGAGCCACACCGCCAGATTCTTGAATCTACAAACGTTTTCATAAATATTGTTAATGTGAAAGATAACAAAAACTATTTATAGAAATTTCAAATACACTTACCATCTCGTCCTCCCGCGCTAAGAAACTCGTAGCCCCAGAGTTGTGAGTACCTCCAGGATTCTTCTTACGGTTCTCCGAGTTAATCTTTGCAAGCTTTTTCGTTGCCGGATCAGCCCATTACGGTTGCAATCCCAACCAAACATCCTCGTGCAAGTTARGCGGTTTCTCATCCCCGTTCTCCCATTTTTCCTTCCACTCGTTCATGTGTCCCGAGTAACTATCCTGGGCCATCTTGTAGAACGCATCCCTAACTTGTCCCGTCAAATTAGGATGCCAATCATAATCTTGCTACATTATTAATAACAAAAATTATTAGTAACTATAAAATTCTTTTCAAGACAAAATTTTTTGTTAATTAAAGACATACCGTAAAAGTTCGGAACCACAACTCTTTCTCACTTTGAGGCATTGCGTTCCACGTCTTATAAGGATGTTTGAGGAGTGAACGTATCATCTTCAAAAATGATTTTGAGATCTTATTTTTCTTACCGAACCTAGAAACATGAAAACAATGTGTWAGTAAAAAAATCAAAGTTAGTATTAATTTTAACATTCCCTACAAAATTTTAATAATTTACCAAGTCGAGCCGCCTCGACACATTGGGTCGAGGTTTGGAATCTTCTCTCGGCCCGGTTGAGTCAACAACTKTTCGATCGTAAGTTGTTGTTGGTTGGAGCTTTGACTGTCCGGAATATGAGATGGGCTCGGGGGGTTTGGGGCTGTGGGGTTTGTGTTGTCGCTCATCGCACGATTCGGGAGGTTAATAATTTTACGGAAATCTCTCATTGACCTGCAATTGCTCGATGAAAAAACTTCACTCCAAACATTTTGCAATGGCCGAGAGGTTTACAAAATGGCCAAGCGGGTTAATGAATCAAACTTTACCAACTTTCATAAACTCTAAAAATTTCATACTCATCACTCGTTGCAAAACCCACGAACATTATGAAATCTAATCGAGAACCGTCA